GCTTCAACCTATTTAGCAACTATAAATTAGAGATATGAATATTTATAATGCCAAGCCCCATAAAATTATGCATGTCCTTTAAATAATACAAGGGTAGGGATTGATAATGATATGCTTAGAACAGCATGTGATACATAGTCATTCATTATATAGTTGAATGAAAAAACAAATGAGCTCATGAAAACTTAACTACATAAAGAAACATTCCAGATGATGGATTTCAGAAACCATCAGACTATATGCGCACTGACCAAATGGGCATCATTTTCTGGTATACCATTTCAGATCATAGGTTTATAAAATAAAGGACTAAATGAATCTTCTAATAAATATGCTTTATCAGGTAATATCATGAGTATATCAGATATCACATGGAGTAATCTAGTCCCTGCTGTTACATTTATTTCAATGAATTACATCTTTTCTTTAATAGTATATGTTATAAAGCCTTTCTTGGCTCCATAAACACTAGTCAGTATAGTAGTAACTCCAGTAAAACATTTTCTTCTTTCATTGTAAAATTTGTAGTGGAGTAAATACTGAATGCTCACTACTAATACCATCTATTAATCACCTTCTGTGACAGAAAATTGACTGGAGTACTATTCATATTTTAGCAGGAAGTGGAATAACCAAGCATTTGCTTTATATAACTTTCTATGTTTGCTTTCTACATTTGTAGTAATAACTAATAATGACCGACATTACATAACAAATGTATATGAAAAGAGACTAATAATTTATTCAACCAACATGAATGAAAATAACATTGTTAAATTGTTTATTCTTATAGTAGATATTTAGAAATAATATGATTAGAGGTTAGTACAAAATGAACCAAATTTCTGGAAATTTTGAAAGAGTTACTAGTGTACTGTAGAAAATGTTCTGGTTGAAGAATTGAACTATATATTTACTTTCATGGTTTTTATTTTGTAATTTCATTGGAAAGTAATTTTAGAACTATTACAAAATTACTTTTATGCTAAGCTTGAGAATCCATGGTTTTAAACCTAATGTTTTTCTAGGTAAAGTAAATCAGATTTTCTAGAAAGATTCACTCAACTGAAATTCACTTTGCAGTACAATTTTTAACTGTGTCCATAAAATGATTCAGTCTTAGTATATCGCTTTATACTGCCATGGCAGTAAAAAAGTTAAAACAGTAATATAAGTACCTGTGAATGAAAAAAAAGTGAAACAAAATGTGATTTTATGATATTCAGATTTGTTATAATTATTAGAAATATATAATTTAATACATGTAAAGGTGCCTAAAATCAAGAGTAGTACATATAAAACTATATGCTTCTATATTACACAATAGTAAATGTTTTACAGTAGAGGTATACCAGGATATAATTGTCAAACACAGCATCCAATACTCCACAAAGAAATATTTTATGGTTTATTTCAAAGAAATTAGAACCTCATCTTTATCACTAAAACAACAACCTAATAAAATCAGAATTCCTATATTTTGTTTCTAGAATGTTACATACAAGAAAACAATAGGGTTTCACCAAATGGCTGAAGTGTGGTATTTATCTTGGAGACACTTAATTTTCATCTAAAAAGTCATAAAATCTTCCCATAAGCTGGTATCTGAATCTGGAAGCTGTGTAACTTAGCTTCAGAAAGGTATTTTAATCTGACTAATCTGAAACCTACAAGGTTAAGAAAGTCCCATACTTTCACTTTTTTATTTAAAATAAAAAATGTAAGACATAATATTATTCAAACATAATGTTGGGTCCAAATGTGGTGGACATAATAGAATACTAAAGAAAATCCTTACATCACTTGTATAAAATGAAGTGAAAAATGGGGGGAGATATGAAGTGACAAGGATGTGGGAAAAAATATGAAACAATATTGTCAGATAAGGAGAGTAGAAAAGCATGCTCTATACACAATATCCAGGTAGAAATGACATCATCCATATTCATATCATTGGATATGGAAATATGCCAATTCATAAGCAAAGGTATGCAAAGAAGATGTAGTGATGACACACAGCAAGAGGATTGTAGGTTATAGAAGTGATAACTCCTTCAGTTTCACAATCCACAAAGCTGTAAGGTTTTGTATTTCACATTTCTTATCATAATTTCTGCTCCTTTTGTGATATCAAGGTGCACTAGATATTATATAACATTTTGGAATATTTATCTTCCTTTGACTCCTCCTATACTAAAGATTTTCATTATATGATTATACAACAACAAAATTTAAATTATCAATATACCACATTAAGGGCAAGTATCTATGTTTTTATATAGTCATTTTGAAATTATTAAACTCCATCATTCATTGAGAAACCATCCTTCAGGAAAATGTTTTACTATTATCTTTCACGGGAAATATAATATCTCAAAATAAATGATTTCAAATATCTGCTTCCTTAAATTAGAGTTCGAAACAAGAATTTTGATTGTAATATCACAAAAGTGGTACTTTTTGAGCTTCTAGATATTTTATCAGTCATGGAATGATCTCTTACAAGACCTTCAGCACTGTAAATTTTAGAATATAATAAATAACATGAGGTTTAAATTATTTTCTTCCTCAGTTCTCTCTATTTTGTTAGGTGCTGATGAAACAAGCAAGGTTTAGAGGTAATTGTGACACTTTGAAAGAAGCCATCTTTGTGTTACATGAAAATTACAGTTCTTCAGTATCTTCTTGGAACAGATTTGTTCCTAATTTTCAGGATTACAATTGCCTGTACATTTTGGCTGGAAAAAGGTTAACACGTCTGAACTGTGCTAAATAACATAGTAGAATTGTTGTCAAAGGAAGCCTCAGAACATTTTTGAAGGTTAAAAGCCTATCTGGAGGATAAATTTAAAGGGAAAGCTTCATTATGTGAGGGAAAAATCATACTAGCAGATGCTGATAGCGACGATACCATGATGAGTAGAACCTGGAAAAAAGAAATTGAGGGTCTGGAGATTTTAAGTGGAAATTTGTTCCCAGTTTAATTTGACACCAGAATATAAGCAATATTTTTCCCATTAGTTACAAATGGGAAATACTAATGATTAGTACTTTTGACAAATTAAATATAAATCTAAACAAATAAGTATAGATTTTTTTGTTTTTTCTTAACCTTTTATTCTTCTCTTGTTCATTACATATCAACCACAGTTTCCCCTCCTTGTACTCCTCCCACTCCCTGTCCTTCTCACCTTCCTCCTCTATCAACTCCTGCTCTGCCTCCCTGCACACACACACACACACACACACACACACACACACACACACACACAATCAAGAGCAGGCCTCCCAGGGATCTAACGAGATGCAATACGACTGAGCACAAACCCACATATTACAGCTGCACATGTCAAAACCTTGATTTACAATCTGTCCTGACTGCAAGTCATATTGGGGCAATGGTGGCACATAATTTGTGGGGGTGGCAGCCTCATGACTGGACCAACTTATACCCCATGCCCAGAGAGGGACCTCAACATTGACACTGCTTGGATGGGTAGGTACCAGAGACAGGACAGCCCAGACACTCAGAATAGAATCAAACACAACTGACAAAAAAAGTCAATGAAATTAACACTTAAGAAATTCTGCTACATTGACAGATTATGACCTAGTCCTATTGTCATCAGAGGGGCATCAATTAGGAACTAACTGGGAGCAGATCCAGAGACTCACAGCCAAACACTAGAATTATTATATAAGAAATTGAACATGGTAGGAATTGATGGATATCTCAAAATATAGCCCTTTGTAGGCAGTGTCTCCCAAACCTCTCTCTCTCTCTCTCTCTCTCTCTCTCTCTCTCTCTCTCTCTCATATATATACATATATATATGCATATGTATGTATATATGTGTGTGTGAGTGTGTGTTTGTGTGTATTTGTGTGTGTTCATTCAGTAAAATAAACTTCTAAAACATCAGTGTACCTCAAAATATGCTAAATGAACTACATAAGGCACAAGGAGATACATACTCTATTGTTTTACTTACATGCAATACCTGAACTAAGCAAATCACAGAGATACACAGTAGATAGTGAGGATACCAGGGGGTAAAGAGAAAACTTTTTAACCTTTAAAGAGTTTTATTATGAGTTGAAGGAAAACTGAGGAAACAGATGATGATTATGATGGTTTGTAACCAATGCCAAGGAATTATGTAATAAAATGCTTATCTCAGAAATTTGATCATATAAATGTCTTATGGATGACTTTAAATAATAAAGCAAAACTATCAAGTTATATATTTTAAATAGATGAATTTTTGACATGTTAATTTTATTTCAGTGAACAAGATACAAAACCCAAAAGATTATAAGGGTTGTCATTGAGCTACTATTTCTTGCACTTGTTGATAGTCAAAATGGAAGCAGATTCATACAGGAATATTCACTTGACTAATGACAGAATTGTACCAGTCAAGCAATAAGGAAGTATTTCCATGGAATAAATAAATGCCACTGGGTCAAAATAATTTGGATTAAATATAAATTTTTGTGTGCAGTTTGTTTTTAAAAATATGCATTAAGCTTATAAACACTTTATATTTTACCTCAATGTTAGAATGTGTTCTAGGTGGAAAAATCAAGACTTGCAAAGTAAAGGAACTGGAAATTGAGTCCTTTTTGTGAATAATACAAATGCGTTGTTTAGTATTTAAATCTATATTCTTGGCCTAAAATATTAATTTTACATCACATCATTTCCTGATTAATTACACTTCATATTAATTGCCTTTTCAGTGTTTCAACTTATGAAATATTATCCCTAAAACGTATTGGCTCACTCTTTGCCTTTTGTCGTGAATGTAAAGTCATTCACCATCACCAATTGCTTTGAGTTTATAGCAAAATATAAAGACAAATCAGATACTCAGGGTACAAACCGAAAAAATAATCCATACTTCTGCTTCCTTCCAAGAAAAACTCAGAAAACAAAGCAAATACAAACAGTTGCAACACTTAACACATGTAACAGAGAAAGATGGTTAATGTCTAACCTTTATCCACTGGAGATTTGTCTGTTTGAGCTTCTTTTCAAGTTTATCTTGTTCTTCTGGTCTTATGGGAGCACTTACAAGTACTGCTCCTCCTGTTTCATTTAATTGTTTTAAAATTCCCTGGCGCAGGGGCAGCTCTTCTGCCAGTAACTGAAACAGACAAATACAACAACATTTAAAATGAATTACAGTGCAACTCCAACTACCTTTGAGTCACCTTTATTGATTAGTCTATCAAAGTGAAGCGACTTAACTGAAGGTCCACTGGCACCTGAAATACCAAATACTTCCACATTGCACAGAGCTGATGGGCTAAAACAACTGCATCCAAAGAGATAAACCAATCCAGATGAGTATATTATTTTGGTTCCTTAAGATGGTTTTCAAGTGAAAAATGTTAATGGCATGTAGAACTCTAAAAGAGTACAACAAGCAGTTATTGTAAAAGCATATGCTTTATCAGAAATAGAACATTTGGATTGATTCCATCATATGCTCAGGTACTTTAGCTTGTCATAATATACAACAGCATGCACATGAGTAGACAACAAAGTTGTCAAAAATATACTGCCAGACAATGTATATATAAAACTCTTCATCTAATAATATGAAAATAACAATGATATGAAGTATAAAATTTACTAATTATTATCATATAAAATAATAATTATTGCCACTTTGTTTAAAAGAAAACTGAAATAGGAGATTTAAATATGAACATTGTAAGGACATAAGGCTAATAATTCAAACTAGGAAGATTCCATCATAGAACTTAAATTTATGATATTCCATTTAGAATCATATTATTACATTTTCCCCAAGATGCACAAATCTACCAGAGATCATAACTAAATTCCATTTGGAACTGCAGGATCCAACAGAATAACTACTAAAATCTGATGTAATATAAAACCTCCTTAGTTGTTCATACATACTATTTTTCATAAGGTACATATATCTAGTGGTTACAGCAATGCATTATGACCTTATCTATCTTTATAGAAAGTTCTACTGTACAATATTATCTAGGTTGCCCAGAGAGAATAGAAAATCAATACACAATTATTCACAAATGAATGTTGCTAAAAATGTCCACACAATGAACTATCAATTATGCTATATATGGCATTCAATACAGTCAGAAAAAAACGGCTTTACAAAATGGACTAGAGTTGTGTCTTTTCTAGGGGGTAGTAGTTTACAAATGGCCAATAAGCTTTCAGTACTAAAATGTCAAATACATAGTATAATATCTGATATATAGTGTGCCTTTAATATTTGTTTACTGATCTAAGCAACTATATTTCCTTTGTAGTCTATGTCATGATAGTATGTAATTTTTCATTTTTTAATTTTATTTCAAAGAAGTAAAGGATTCATTTGAACTATAATTTGCCTGAGTAAACCTACTGAATCATTGACAAATAAGTAAGTCTCTTTTCATTTTATTTTCTAATACTCTACAATGACAGGAATGGGAACCAGCTACAATGTTTCAAATGAGGATTAAATAAAATGGAGTTGTAGTTAAACCTCGTATTTCACACACAGTGCATGATAAATATTAATTTTCATTCTCCTTTCACCTTTACTTTGAAAATTAAAATAAGAGAGTTCTAAAAGACTTAAGTTTCTTAAACTAAGATCATAAAAACTAAGTTAGCTATACAATTAGATCACATCAATGAGCCAGGTGAGGTGCTATCAGATATGTCTGAGTTCACTCCTCCACCCAAATAAAAAACCCAACAACAACAAAAACAAACAAGCAAACAAACAAGCAAAACCTCTTGAATATGCTTTGTGTCTAGTGAACCAGTATGGAGTGTGAACCAATATGAAAAGTTCTATGTTCACATGGAATAAGCACAAGCTTCTTTAAATCATAGCTGAAACAACATTATTTGACAATGGATAGGAGGTTTCTAGGGAGGCAAAATGGGGAAAGATGATGACATCTGAAATGTAAATAAATAAAGTATCAAATAATATAAAAAGACATGATATTCTTTATTAGTGAAACTCTCAGTCTCAGTCTGATGTAGTCTAAAACAGATTGCAAATTCCTTCCCACTTACATATAGATTTTTTGATTTCACACTTTGCTCTTCAGTTTTCAAAATCCTTTGAAATTGTTAACCCTGAAATAACTCTAAAAGTAATTATTTAAGTTAGTTTTTAAAATAACTGGTATGCACTTTGCATGTATAAAGAACATGTGTGTATCTAAAGACGTATATCTATATGCATGTATATGTATGTATGCACATATGTATACATTATGTAAGTATGTTAATTTACAGGCATTTGGTTAAAAATGTAAGGTTGGGAAAGAACATATTGTTAAGAACCGCAGATAACATAATGGGTAGCAAATCAATGATTCGGTACATTAAAATAGATTTATATGTGCTTTATACAAATAGGCACTGGGGATTCTAGTAAACAAAATTACCTTGACTTGTTCAAGCTTTTCTTTTAGCTGCTGTTCATCTCCAAGTGGAGTAGTAGCAATGTTATCAGCTTCTTCCAACCACAAGACAAATTCATTTAAATCTCTTTGAAATTCTGACAAGACATTCTTTTGTTCCTCAGTCCTGTAGAAAGAATAACAAAATGATTGTAAATGACACACCTCTCAGGGATTTAGGGAGATACTGGAGCAGTGGAGCAGGAGATGGTGGGTGGGTGAAGGAGCACCCTCATAGAGGCAAAGGGGAGAGGGGAGAGGGCAGATGTGGGAGGGGGAATTTGGAGGAGTAACCAGGAAGTGGGATATCATTTGATATTTAAACGAATGGAATGATTAAAAAAAAAACAACAACAACAAACCAAACCAACCAGCTCACCAAACAGACAAAGCAACAGCAATTTTTTTTTTTTTTTTTGGAGACAATGAAACTTTATTTAAAAACCGAACCACTTGGAAAATATATTGCAGGCTGGACACAGCAAACAGACAAATGTATCACTATTTCAAGTAATTGGTATAAATACAACACAGTACTTATCCAAAAGATAAGATGCTATGTTAGGCCAGCAACACTGCACCACAAAACTCCAGGCAAAGATGGGAGTTGGTAAGAAGGTGTGTGCTCTCTGTGGTCCTGGCTCTCTTTGGCCTAAGTTGCTTACTTTTAGGCCTCCTTGTTGGTAAGGCTCTGTAAATTCAGAGCTGATTAATACTGGGTTTGCACTATTATTTTGTGAACCCAAGTCCAACACTTCTCAACAATTCCTATTTACTGTTTATTCTTAGTGACAGGCATGTGACAACCAAACCCTTGCTTTTCATGAGGATGTGTCACTTTGCTGCACAAGTCAATGAAGAAAGCTGTTTCCCATGTCACTGTGACACTGTCTGCTTCTTCAGGGGCTTCTAGAATAACAGAATTTGAAAACTAGACATTCCCATCTTGATGGTAGAAAATACTAGGAACCTTTGGAAGTTATTCAAACCACTCTCCTTCCTGTATCTTAAATCCACTGTGTGCCCTTGCATGTAAGACAAAACTAAGCAAAATATAGATTTGAAAAGGAAATCCTTTCCTTTCTCTAAATTACTAGCCTACTGGGTTTTGTTTCACAGCATATGCAAGGTGGTGTGGTGATACTTGTGGTAAGCAGGATTTGCCAAGCTTCTCTGAGGAGACACACCTCTCCTCAGATTTTACCAGCAGGTTGAAGAGAGCCGCCAGCTTGGATGTTTGTAGTAAGAACCTCAGCCCTTGGTATAAGGTTGATCTCTACTACAGAACAAACACTTGCACAGGAATATTTAGGATCTAGACTTCTCCTCCGAGCTATCTGCGATCCAAATCTTAGCACCAGCTTCTTTCCACTTCACCTTCTAAAATCCAGTGTCCAGCAGTGAGCAGCATTTGCCTGGAACTTGCTGTGTCCTAAGTTTTCCTCATTCGTAAACATTGCTTAACATATTAAACTTCCATTCTTCCTTTTAAATAGCCTGCTCTCAGCCCCAATGGTCACTGGCAAACAATTTTATTTCCTGATGGATGACAGAGACTCCTTCATCTTCTTGGTCATTGTTGGGATGAGGTGCATGTGGTCATCCACACACTTGGCCACACAGCTATCTAGCTGTCGCTTCACCTGAAGCTCCTTAGTTCCTGCATCCATTGAGTCTTTGGCTTTGTCGTTGCAGTGCATGGTGCACCGTGCCAGGCGGTCCTGGAACCTTTCCAGCTCGCTGGTGACCAGAGCCTGCGCTTGAGCCAGAGGCGCATGGCAGCGTTCGATGGACTGGTGCACCTGCTGCATAGACGCTTGGGTGTCTTCACAGCAGTTGGCACTGCACCGGAACATGAGGCCCTGCATCTTCCGGATGTTCTCTCTCTCCACACTTTTCACCATGGCGTCCACAGCCTCCTGCACTCGGAGTTGCTGCACCTCCGCCATGGCGACCCTGAGCCGTGCCGCGCCGGCGCCCGCGTGCCAGCAATTTTATTTTTAAAAAGCAAGCTACTTAAGAGATAGCCATAATATAGGATTTATCTTTGTTTTATCTACTTTGAACAGTCGTTTTAATACTTTCAAAAGTACAAAATTAGGTCAAGAAAAATTATTTTAAGACTTGCAATAGCCTGTTATTACATTCAGGAAGACTTCACTACCTAGGCAACAGTGGCACATAGCCTTTGAAACCTCATGGTTATGAGGGGCTCTTCTAATACACTGTAAGATATTTAGCAACAATTGTAACCACTATGCATGAGATTCCTAGCTGTGACAAGCAAAAAATATCTTGAACCCTAATATTTCCTCCTGCTGGAGGTGGGCAAATTTTTCCCTTCTGTGAAATTACTATAGTAATAGAATACAAATGTGAAGCTGAATGCTTTGAAAAAGGACAAATTAGAGACTATTTATTGGTAAATTAAATGACAAATGTAAAAGCAAAGGCATAAAATAAAAACACCATGCAGATGTTTCCAAACTATAACACAGTCCTTTTCATTGAAAAGAGACAAACATAACAAAAATGACATACAAGGTATAATAACCTGGTAGATGTTTTTATTTATATGAATACATATATTGCATATTTTTTCATTAGGCATGAATTCACTTTTATATATTAGATTCAAAGATTTATGGGTAGACAGAATGGTTCATATTTAAAATGACTTATATTTGTTTTTGTCATTTTTGGGAGATTTAATGGAAACATTTAACTGAAGCATAATACACATATGGGAAAGTACATATATAATTATAGAGCTCAATGAAAATACAGGTTTTAGATTCATCACATAGAGAAAGAAGTAATTTATTATAAGAAATACCTTGCTTCCTTTTCATTATCATATATGAAGTAGCATGTCACTTTGATTATTCTGTAATGTAAGCATTATGCAAAAGCAGTAATATCATATATCATCCTTTGTGTCTTGCTTTTTGACTAAAATTTATGTTTATAATTCTATAACATTTATTGTTCATTCATTCACTTTTATTTATAGTATTCCATAATATTTCATAAGAGTATAATGTTAATTTTTGTTATTTCTATACTTTTTCTACACTTTTAAAACATGATTAAGAATTGATATTTTACATCGTTAATAGATGATTATTGATAGTTCATTGTCTTTAAGAAAATGTATTACTAGAAATCATCAAATAATATACCTTCAGTTAAGGATCTTCCATCTGATGGGAAGAAGTATCAATGTTTTTAAGTGGTCTCCCCTTTACATAGTTTTGTTTACTAGGAATTTTGAACTATATATGTAGTTTGTTCAGTTTATTAAATAATATTTATTTATAAATACTGCTGATCACTCCTCTTCTTAACTCTCAATCACATTTTCATCAATTTCACCTTTCTCTTATCAATTTTAAAAGAAAAATAGTTGTCTTTTAATTGTAAATTTTATGTAGATATCTAATTCTTATAGAATTGTGCACTTGATTTTTGTACAAGACGTCTGTTGAATTAGAAATTATCTTTTGAATTCTGGAAGAGTATTTTATAACCATTCCCCAGTTTACGAGAAAGCAGTTTTAAACAGGAAGAAATAGAATTTTCATCTGATTTTTTTACATTGCTCTTTTACTTTGCAAAGTCTAGGCACAGGTGCAGCAAATCAGTTACTCCTAGGGCGAATTTGGTCTATGGTTTGATTTTATGCAATTATGAACATATACTTTATTTTCGCAGTTCTGGATACCCTCTTTTATGTGTTCTTCAAATACACTAGGTGGACTTGTGCTTCTGTTTTGGATCTTCTTTTCTTAAATTTCAAATGTGGGTGCTTGTCACCTTAGGTAGGTTTCCATAATAATCCTACTTAAAACTGTCCTCCCCTCAATGTTTCGATTTGTTGTCCCTGTTCTTGGCTTTCTTTTAGTTCCTAAAATTGACATACTTCATCCTTTTGTTTTTCTTTAATGTACTCTCTATGTCTCACATATGAAATTGTACTCCTTTAGTGATGGCTTTAGGTGTGGTTATTTGCTACTATATTTTCTTTTTGACAATGTCTAGGATAGAATGGAGGCATAGTAAATACATGATAGGGTAAAGAATGAATGGGTCTATCATTATTTTCAATTTTCTTGCCTTCCTATCCTAAAATAACTTTTCCTATATTTTAGAATATGGATTGTAAAATTTGGCAAAATTTATCCCCCATTCTGTGCTATGGTATTTCATTTAAAGACACTTGAACTAGAAGGTACTCAAGAACATCATTCTGGGTATCAACAAAATGGTGATGGTCAAGTCAAAGAAAGGTGGCACTTAATATGATAACATATAAAGAGTTTTAAAAATCAAGACAATTTCACTTCTCTGACATATTTTTGTCATAAGCCTATATTGTACACATGTGCACACACACACACACACACACACACAGAGGAGTAAAATATAAATTAAAAGACTGACTTATCACTTAAACATTCTCCAGTTTCAAGTCTGTGTCTCCTGCATCAGTTTTCGTTTCAAGGCAATGGGAACAATGTAAATTTCTAGTAGTAGGAATACTGCTACCATTGCTTCCATAAACCATATAGGAAAAGGGATTATCTTGGCTGCCAGAACTTTGTTTTAGAATATGAAATAACATTGTTTACTTTCAGAATCTGGTCAGTATAAACCTTAAGTCAAGAATAAAATTCAAAAATCTAATAACTCCCAAATTATTGCATGTTTTCACTCTTAAATATACTCAGCTAAGAAAATAAATACACTTAATAATTATAATTAAGATGTATATAGTTAATTCCAATTAAAATATACAAACATTATTTACATATTTTCTTCTATTAATATTCTACTGTGAGTAGGTCTGGGTTTAGGCAAGTCATAAAGCATTTGCTTATCATGTATAGGACCTTGTGTTTAATATCCAGAAGCACAAACACAAAGCAATTATAATTAATTGCCGTATGTTATTGGTTATTTTGCAAAAATATTGTTTAAGAATCAGAGGAATAAAGTATAAGTGGATATGACATATTTTACCCTTCTTTTGTTACTAGGTATTAATTTTAGTCATAAATATTCATTGTAAAAAGACCTTACATTTGTTTATTCATTTTGGCCTATACAGTAGATAAACTCATTAGA